TAAAGGTGCCAGATCAGAAAGAGACCAGTTTGTTTTGGATTATGTGATTTTCGAACATACTGACAGAGCTGCCAATATGTTCAAAAACAAGATTTTCTTTGGACTGCTCTGTTCGATTCTCCGAACACTGTTTTGTCGTCTTTCGTGGTGATGCAATGTCTCTCCTATAATTTATTGAAGAATGCCTTATTCTTTGTTACACTATGGCAATGACGTGTTCGTTTTTCAGTCATTGCAATATCATTTATTATTAATTTATTACAGATTATTAAGTCCTTAATGACTGGCTATAACTTCAATGGGATATCTGTTCCAACGTTGTTGGGGTTTTTTTTGAACGATTATATGATTTTCTAGTACCATGCATATGGGTATCTGCTATTTTGTGTAGAACAAGAGTGGATAGATACTCAGGAGTAACAGTGTACACCATTTGATAAAATTGAATAAGTTTATGCTTTTGGCGTCTCTCTGTTAGTGTACACAATCCATAAATTAAATACTGATAAAGGGAGATCACTCTTCTAGTCTTATAGATATCTTGATTGCCACCCCGTGTTTAACGAGAAATCATTGGTCTTTGTCAGATGCAAATGTTGTCTCTGTTCATCCGGTTTTCTCTAACATTTTTTTAAAATGGCTGATTAACAATAGAAATAAAAATTAGTACGATTTTCTGTTAAATATCCAATATACAAGATGTAGTGTTGTAAGAATTGAAATATTCGGAATAATACAGTATCTGGTTTAGTTTAGTATACAAATCATCTAGATCACTTAGGTGTATAACTGTCACTCGAGCCACTATTCTGCAACAAGCTCTCCAGTTACATTGAACAGCTGTTTCTAAAGACGTCTCCACATGTCCATGTAGGTAAAATCCCTGTAACAAGCTACATGTAATCGTCTGTATGAAGGTAACATTGATGTATATAATAGTTGTGTATTTAAATATCTCCGTTTTATCTTTATCATGTTCATTACCACACAATATATGTTTATCATATATCTTTTCTAATGGTGGCCCGTATTATATGAAGAGTATTGCGACTGCTGTTTTGTACCCCATGGTTTTTGTAATGAATTTTTATCCGTTTAATAACGGGTAATATTTGTGCTTACAAGTATAGCATGACTACATTGCATGGAGTGCATCCCAGTGGTTGTCAGTATCTGCTCATTGCTATTCATTATCATTATTGGATACGTACATTTTGTTCATGTAACAATTAGTCTTGGTTATTGTCTGGTAAACTTGGAAGACACAAACTCCTATATTAATTATATAATTATTCAAATAACCATTTCTCACTTGTTCTAATATTAATATTAATCATAATGTATATGGATATTGAAAAAAATCCAAGTCCTTTATGCAGTTNGTAGCACCAAAGGCCAGTGACTAATACACATTTGCTTTCATTCTTAATAGGATGAGCGACGAATGTCCAATTTTAAAGGATGAAATAACATTTGTCATAATAAAACATTCATGTGTAACTGCTACTGATTGATCAAACGAAATGAAACACGGTGATAAACACAAGTACGTCGCACAAATTATAGGGACAACTTCCCGTTGCACCTTCATAGCCAATAAATTAAAATCACTCGTGTGAAACGAACTGTATCCTTGTAGTAATATGCACCCCTTTAATTCATCTTTTATAATTTAACAGGGCAGAAAAATCAGAAGCCATTATCATATATTTAAGGATTAATCTTTTATTTTGTTTAGTTTATGAGATAATAAATCCGATGGAGCACAAGGTAAATTGCGTAAACGCGAACCTTATATTTACATTTTTTTCTTTTAACAATGACACCAATGAAAGAGGCGGATACAAGCATTCACCCTGTGTAATCTGCGTTCAAAATTATTTCGAAGTTATGTTAATCCAGGTTAATGATGCGAAACAGCCATTCGCAATAGCCGTTGACAGGCAGCTAAACCCCGCCCACTTTCTCCGTGACAACAAAAGAAAAAAGTTCCCCCATTTCAATATTTGTATTTACATAAAATATCCATATTTTACTTCATACACTATCTTCATAATTGTATTAGTAGGTGAAGGAATAAATAATTGTATATTTGTATGAAATTGAGGTATTGGGGCAAAATACTAAGTAGAAAATACTCATGACCGCGTACACCCGTCGTTTGAAAGTGATGCGCCCAAAGGTGGGAAATAGAGAGTGCTACCATGTCGTCGAGTGATAGTGACTGGCTTATGCCTAGTGGAAATTGAAAGTGAAGTTATTGAAATTGCTGTTTGTAAGCATGCCAGAGGTTTGTACAGATGACATGTATGATGTAGATAAATCGTTTGTCAGCCGAGTGACTGTTGGGAGACGAGAAATTCGACCTGCATTTCTAGGAACGATAGCCATCGTTTCTATGGCATGGGGGCCGACACTCATAGATGAGAGAGTGGAGCTGATGGAGCGTTTTTGTACCGACGAACAATCGCAACTGTAGCTTCAGACATTAGCTGACAAAAGCATCTAAATCAAAAAAAAGTTAAACACAACAACAAACATAAAATTTAATGTTGTTATTTTGGTGTCTCGAACGCACGGTAGTCTAAATGCTAGCGTTTGTTTGTAAACATTGATACGAGGTTTGCGGAAAGTAGTCCATATTTACATATATTTATACACGGTGAACTGGGTCACGTTCTACACTCAAGTTATTGAGAAATAAACAGAAATGCCCTCACTTAGGTTAACGGTTCAGAAACAGTGGCAATTGTAAATATCAACGTTTAATTTAGTTTAGTTTCTTATTTTATTCTGACATTTGAAGTGAGGGGGATTGATCATGCCCAGGAGTGTAGAAAATGGAAATTCCATCCTCGGGATTTTCCAATGAGGCCATGTTCTATATAAGATATTTTCCAAATTTGAAACCAGGGAATCGGTATGCTGTCTACCATATGTAAAGGTCATTATAATAATGTACCACGACAAACTGAATATGAAGCCAAACATAAAGGTAATGACAATCAGATGGTCATGTTTAAAATCTTTCTCTCTCGAAAAACATCACACAATAATAAACTTTTATGCTGGTGAATATGATGTGATATGAAACTGAAAAAGTGATATTGACCGAGGCAAAGCCCAAGGCCTGTGCCTGACATAAAACTTTTAAACACTAAACCATATTTAATATTACGCCATTTCTCATATTAAACCAATCACGGTTGTCATCGCACATCGTTCGTCCATCGTCCTCACAAATGTGCGCAAGCAATAATCGTCCAGATATTTTTTATCGTTCGCACATCGTGCGCACATCGTGCACACGCCGTGCGCACATTGAAAGCACACCGATCATCTTGTAACGTTGTGCGATCCCACAACTGTAAGATATGAAAGCTGTACACAGAAAACGACTGTCGTCTGTAACTTGGTTGAGAATATTAAAACAAAATATCCCTCAATAAAAATAAACATTCAACTGTCTTAGTAGTAATGAAACCTGATTGATCAAGAAAACATCGATACCAACATAGAAACAGTAGTTGTTATAAGGAGTGCTGGGAACCATTTATGGTCTTATTCGAAAGGCATCTGGTGGGGGGAAAAATCTTCAAATAAGGCTCCAAAATGTATAGGTGAAAGTGAAAATGGATCCCGTGAGGCTGACGTGAACACTCAAGGGAGACGCGATGCTTTAAGCCCATAGCATTTAAAAAGGCAATGGGTCATAGAACAATTCAGAAACAAGTATATCGGTCATTTAATGTCTTAAATCCAATCAGACACACTGTCACATAGCATACGTGTAGTAAGTAAGGCCATAAAACCAATACATCCTAATAATATGTCAGTCATTTGATTCATGTTGGAAGATACTTCCCTGAGCGCCAGCTAATTTAGCAAAGTCGAGGCTGATTAAGAGCCGATTCTTGTTATAACTGGCCTGAGTACCAGAAACATGAAGTAAGGAAAGTCGGGCAGATTTCGGGTCGTCCATTTTACTGACACGAGCAACAGTTTCACGTAGTTATATAAGTTAAAGTATTGTTAAAACTGGCTTGAGAATACAGGCAGGTGTATATAGGGGCTTTTTCAGACTGCCCTGAACAAGAAACAGTCGGGGCAGATTTAGAATGGCCATGTTGATATCGGATTGAGCACCAGTTGTAGGTAGCATACAAGAATATAATATATTAGATTAAGGCACGTTTTATTTCACCGAATGACAATACAGAAATGAACAGTATCTTCTGAAATATTTTATGACCATGAAGGAGGTCGTACATAAATTCCACGCAACGTAATAGGTGGAGCCAAAAACAACCTCAACCTCTCCGTGTTTGTTGTTAATTTGCAATATCAAACTGTCGACTTACGTCCGCAAATCAATATAAATATACATTTACATTCTGTGTTGCATTTGCCTATATGTCGTTCGTAAACCCAATTCCAGTATATTAGACTGTATACTGCAATTTACAGTGATTCGGTCAGTGTAGGAACATATATGGTCACCAGATATTTTCGGAGAACTTTCTGGGTTCGTTAGCATTTAGCAATGTAGGTCATTGTAAAAAATAAAGCAACTTGAAAAAAATATGACAATATAAATTTAATATAAGATGAGTAGGTACCACAAAGTTATTGTAAGCGCCATTCAAGATACGAAATTACCAAGTTTGTCCACATAAGATACAACCAATTTTTACCAACCAGTTTGCTTGGTGTTCAATGTGAAGGTGTTATTAAATAAGGATTCGCAGGTAAAGCCATGTACATAATAAATTATAAAAATATTGAAAATACAGAATTACATTTTAAAATTAAACACTGCGGCATTGCAGAGAGAGAGAGAGAGAGAGAGAGAGAGAGAGAGAGAAAACTAGATTAGGATTAGTTGGTACACATGAAGGAGTGCAAGAAAAATAATCAAAATCTGTCAGTATCTAGAAAAAAATTAGATATTAGCAAAATTAAACAGTGCACACTAAAAATCAAACCATTGAAAAAATTACCTTCATGACAAAATCCTTTATCCAAAGCATCTGAAATGCCAAATTCAAAACACATTTTAGTGAATTCATTTTTACATAAATCGTTTCCTCTTAGACGACATCACGATAGAATGAGAAGAGTTCGCATGACAGGACGGACAGGTAGCTGCTTTCTTACGACGCTCCGGTGAATATGAACATTTTGTTGATTTCTAAACTATTTTAATCATAATTTGTCACATCTTTTAGCCAATGTGTATTTCTGTGGTACCTGTAACGCGGTGGACCCGATATGAACTCTATGTAAAACATATATATGGGTAGACACCGGGCTGACCCCTCCCTCTAAAACCTGTGCTGTAGGTACCTATACGACCGACGCATTGCCACATAGTGTTCTACAAACATCAGAAATACTGGCAGAAGCACAAGGATCTATCTTCAGGCGACAATTCGGGGATATATCGAACATTTCTATTGACAATCGATCTGCTCCACACGTACTCCCGTACGGTCAACCAACCGGTTTATCAACTCCCGTTTACAGGTGCTTTATCTATACATACATGTAGCAGAACGACAACTAGGTCAACTCGGTACCCATGTACATCAGCCGTCCTCACCATACGGGATCAGCATACCCGGGGTATCGACTTCACCAATTCCACCCCCATCCCGACACCCGTCCACTCCACCGGCGCCTATCTCGGCCACCAGCCATATCACCATGCAGATGCTCATGGCCAACATTCAAATTCTGGTTAGCAGAATTGAACAAGTTGACAATGTACTTACATGTAAATTACAAAAACTCGACATGCTTGACGAGATAAAAACTAAATTTGAAGTGTTTGAACAACTAAACGAAAATATAAAACAAGAGATCACCAATATACAGCACACGGCTCAGAAACATTCCTACATTATTAACAAACAGGAAGAGCATCACTTAACCATACGGGATCAGCATACCCGGGGTATCGACTTCACCACTTCCACCCCCATCCGGACCCGGACACCCGTCCACTCCACCGGCGCCTATCACTTCCAACAACCCAGGACGAGTTGCGCAACATTATCATGACTTCGCAATCGAAGTCCTGTGAGCTTGATCTACTGCCTACAGACCTATTAAAGCAATGTCTTGAAGCACTGCTTCCTTTGATTACCGCAATCATGAATAAATCATTGGTTGAGTCTAAGGTTCCATTATGTTTCAAGAAGCCACATGTCAGACCATTGTTAAAAAAGCCTGGAATGGACAAGGAGGAGTTGAAAAACTACGCCCAGTTTCAAATCTGCCTTTTCTGTCTAAGATCTTGGAGAAGGTTGTGTCCCGGCGTTTAGAGGTTCATCTCAATGAAAACAGTCTCCATGACAACATGCAATCGGACTACCGCATGGGACACTCTACTGAGACGGCCCTCCTACGTGTACATAGTGATATAGCTTCTGCATTGGATAACAAGTGCAGAGCGGTGCTTGTCATGCTGGACTTGTCAGCTGCATTTGACGTCATCGACCATGGCATACTTTATAAACCTCTATAATACTCTTATGGAGTGACTGATACCTGAGTGAACGACGACAGTGTGTTGCCATCGGATCTGCCACCTCACATGACAAAGTACTAGATTTCGGGGTTCCTCAAGAGTCGGTGTTAGGACCACGAAAAAATTGTATGTACTCCAAACCGATTGGAGAGATTTGTCGTCGCCATAGCCTTCGCTATCAATGCTATGCTGATGGCACACAAATTTACATGGCCACAGGACAGTTGGAATACAGTCTCAGAAAGTCTGGAAGTTTGTCTGACAGATATCAGTATCTGGATGAACGCCAACATGCTTAAACTTAATCAGGAAAAGACGGAACTATTCGTCTTTTCCCCAAAGTGTCAGCAAACAATGGCTCTCCACCTCAAGGTTGGTGCCAGAACTATTGAGACTGTTCCAGCTGTTAAAAACCTAGGGGTATACTTTGACAATTCTCTGAACATGGAGAAAAAAGTGAACAGGATTGCCAAATCCTGTTACTACCAGATCAGGAAGATCGGCTGTATTCGGCAGTTTCTAACTGCAGATGCATGCAAGATTTTGGTGCATTCACTTGTTACCTCTCGGTTGGATTATGGTAACGCCCTGCTCTGTGGTATATCTGACAAACTAACTAGTCGTCTGCAGAGGGTTCAGAACATTGCAGCACGGCTAGTTACTCGTATTCGAAAGAGAGAGCACATCACACCTGCGCTTTATTCGTTGCACTGGTTACCTGTACGATACAGTCCGCAGTACAAAATTCTGGTATACACATACAAGGCACTGAATGGAACAGCTCCTCAGTACCTACAGGAACTTGTTACCCTGTATCAGCCGTCACGATCACTGCGTTCGGAGTCAGAATCTTTGTTGTATGTCCCAAAATCTCGTACTGTGACCTACCGAAACAGATGCTTTGGGAGGGTTTCGTCTACGTTGTGGAATAGCTTACCATCTGCTATTAGGAAGTCGAATACCCTGGCCAAGTTCAAGAGGGACATCAAAACTCACCTCTTCACGTCTGCATTTTAGAATATTTGCGTCATGTAAATACCACCCTTTTATTTGTTCAATTATGTGCACATTGCTTGTTAAATGTATGAAAGTGATTGCAAGCCTTCGTTGTTTGTTTTCACAATTATAACCATTACTATTATACATATGTTGTAAAACGCCTTAGAGTAATTTTACAAATTATAAAGGGCGCTATATAAATGCTGTATATTATTATCATTATTATTATTATTCAATATTGAACAGAGACTCCAAAGTGTCGAACGGAGAATTTAGAGCTGACGATGGAGAATCACGATCTACTTAAAAGTTTCCTTAAATTGCAAACACGTTTTTACCGGGATTGAAACTACTGAGCCTGTACATGAGGAAAAAAACCGAACAAGTGGTAAAAAAATCCTATTTGAGGAGATTGAGATGTCGCTGCTGAAAACATTAAGTTTCGTAATGTTCATCGACTGCGGGCACGGCGGGATGGGAAACCATGGAAAGTTTGCTAGATACGAGGACATCGACACCGTCCTAAAGTTATGTCCGTCAAAACTACGGAATAACCCAGAGTTCTCAATGTCCCAATAATACTTACCCGAAATAAGTGATAGACGCTACGCTCTGAACCCAAAAATGAAGGAACTCAAACGTCGTCATGTGAACGTCAAAATGTGTATACGTGGACGGCCGTCCGTACGGTGACCCCCAGCAATATCAACGCGACACCGTTCTCTGGAACGCGAACGTGGGTCCCCCCAGCTAGAACGGAGGAGCTGGTCCCCAGGAACCCAATCAAGGCCCCCCAACCAGAACGTGGACATGAACGCGGTCCTCCGTCGGAACGCGGGAGTGATACAGCTCGTACGGCTCAACGAGCAACCGGGTGCGTGTTCGCGGCCCCCAGGGCCCCGGGCGTGGCTCAGGCGGTGTATACTCAAGTTCAAGTTTTATTCGAACTTTAGGCCATTGGCCCATCAGTATACAATACATATTATACACAACTCATGGAAAATGTACAGAGAATAAAGACAATCATATTCCTTTATAATACCATTTAATTTGTTTGCCTCATAGATGAATTTTCCTAGTATACACAATTCTTTAATATTATGGAGGCTCAATAACTGAACGACTTTAAACACAGATGATAAAACGTGATCTGGAATTTAGGAATTTAGAACAGACTAATAAAAAATGAAATTCATTCTCTACTTTAGAGGGGGGGGGGGTTACACTGTTTACACTATCTTCGTTCTCTAGGTATAGTATTATACCTTCGAACTTCGACAGCCAAAGAATGTGTAGATGTACGGATTCGGGTCAAACAAACGCGATATGTCATTGGTATGTATTGTGTGAGGTAAACGTGTAATGATACAATAAACATTTTGGAGTTTTCCCCTGAGGCCCTTAGGGATTGTATGCCTTGATAAAACAAAATCTTTGTTTTATCAATGGTAATAACACATTTTGCTGAGAAATACATGGATTTAACCAAACGTCACTAAGACCTAGATTATTTAATTCATCCCGCACTGCTTTAGCCTAGTTGAAATCATTTTTACTACAACATTGTAATACAAATCTATAGGAAGTGGATATGATACAATTTTAAGATTTTAAGATATTAAACCAATATATCTTCATACTAATTTTTCTCATCCAAACTAGAGGTAATCGTCCCAATTCGAAATAGACCATATTGTTATTGGCCGATATCTCCACTTTCTTACAAAAATGTAAATGTACACGTTCAATCTCTGGAGCTTTGTGCATACACCAAATTCCACTTGCATAAAAAAGGATACTGCTTACATATGTGTCGAAAAGGTGTAGCATAGTTTTTACATTTAAGTTTAATGATGAACACTTTGCAAATTATGCAAACATAGCTTTTCGTCCTTGGATAGCTAATTGATTTTGGATAATTAAGTGAATTTATTATTGTAATTTAAAATAACACCTAGGTAAGGAAATTGATCCACACATTCAACTTTACTTCCTTTGTAATACCATTTTTCATCATTATGTTATCTTCCACCTTTTCTAAAAACTACAATTTTCGTTTTTACTGCATTTACAGTTAAATTCCATTTTGAAGAGTATTCAGAAATGCTGACAAGAAGAATCTGCAGGCCCTGTACAGATTCCGGGAAAATAACCAAATCATCTGCGTACATTAACAGAAACAAACTTAACTCACCGAAGTGGTAATATGTTGCACCGTTTTCAATAAAGGGCATTTCAAAATCATTGATAAAAAGTGAAATCAGTAATGATGACAAAATTTTCCATTGCAATTAACCGACATTGTTTTCAAAAACGTTAGAGCATTTCCCATTAATTGAAACACAGGATTTGATTGATTTATAAAGCGACTTAATAACAGACAACATTTTTCCTCGAATACCAAGCCTAGTCAACTTGCACCATAAGCTTAATCTGTCGACAAAATCAAACGCTTTGCGAAAGTCCACAATGCAACACTACACACGTTTCTTTG